TATGTTATCTCCTGTTGTGAAGCACATGTCCATTTGAATGTTGTTTGCTATGGTGGAACAGTTCGACCTTAAACTAGAATAGATGGATGTGAAAACTGCGTTCTTGTATGGTGATCTAGATGAAACAATCCTGATGAGGCAACCTAAAGGGTATGTCGAAAGGGGGAAGGAAGATTATGTGTGCAAACTGAAGAGATCTTTATATGGACTGAAACAATCTCATCGATAGTAGAATAGGAGATTCGACAAGTTCATAACACGCATAAGTTTCGTTAAAAGTCAGTTTGACCACAGTGTTTACTTCAGATTTCGACTTGGTAATTCATTTGTTATTTTGTTGCTTTAGATGGATGATATTCTAATAGCAAGAAACAATGTTGAAGATATAATGAGGGTGAAGGCTGAACTCAATAAGGAGTTCGACATGAAGGATCTAAAAGTTGTGTCCAGGATTCTTGGGATTGATATCTGAAGAGATAGAAAGCAGTCAAAATTATGCTTATTTCAAGAGGCATACCTACATAAGATTATCGAAAGGTTTGGTATGTTGAATTCAAAGCTTATTGTGACTCTGACAAACCCTCAATTCAAGCTGAGTATAGATCAATGTCTCAGTACTTATGTTGAAAGAGCTTATATGAATATCATTCCGTATGCTAATATGGCGAGTTCTTTGATGTATGCTATGATCTATACTAAACCTGACATAACATATGCAGTAAGTCCTGTAAGCAGATATATGGCGAATCCTGGAAAGGCTCACCATAAAGCATTGAAGTAGATTCTAAGGTACATAAATGGGTCTCTGAATAAAGTCCTAATTTATGGTGGAGCCTTGGGTGAAGATAATAAAGCATCAATCGAAGGATATGTCGGCTCTGATTATGCAGATTGTATGGATTCCAGAAAATCTATTTTTGGATATGTGTTCACTATGTTTGGCACAACAATTAGTTGGAAAGTAACACTTTAGAAGGTTATTGCCTTATCAACCACTGAAGCAGAATATATCGCCTTCACTGAAGTTGTGAAAGAAGCATTGTGCCTTCTAGGTTTTGCAAAGGATTTGAAACTTCAAGGTCGAAGTATCATTGTTAAATGTGATAGTCAAAGTGCAATACACTTGTCGAAAAATTAAGCCTATCATGAGCGAACCAAGTACATTGATGTGGGGCTGCATTTCATCAGAGGGATAATCGAGTGTGGAGAAGTCCAAGTGCTGAAGGTTTTGACAGATCATAATGCTGTTGATATGATCACCAAGATGTTGCCCCGTTACAAGTTTTTCCACTCTATGCAGTTGATAAAGCTGCATGAAGAAAGCTAGTTTGTTTCTTAAGGTTATAAAGTTTGTTTCAAGGTGGAGATTTGTGAGATATTGGATTAAACTCTAGTATTGTCGATAGAGGTTTAGCAGGCCGTCGAAGTCTGCTCACATGTTGTTGTCGAAGACCTACATGCTATAGTCGAAATGTATTATAATGTGTAGTTGTCAAATTGAGCCTTGTGTTAAGGATCCAATTGTTTAAGTTAGCTTGTAATGAGTAATTGCTAAAAAGCCTATTAGTTTAGCATGTTAGGTTTTATTATAAATAACATACCAGTCTCTCATCTTAAGTGTGACAAATCCTAATTAAGGTGAGAGAGTTATTTCTTATTTTTGAGTACTTGTAATCTGATTCAAAGAGAAAATAAAGAATAACAGTTATAACCAATCCTTGTTGTTTTTCTTGTTTTTCCCATTAACCTTAACTTTTGTGTGGTTCTTGATCATAAAGGAACCGTTTATACTTTGTGTTTAAGGTATCGTTTTTCACAACAAAAGAACATATAATAGAATATGTGAGATCTACATGACTAAAAGATTAGAAGAATGCACAATACTACTGTAAGAGATTTGAGGAGGCTAAAATTGAAACCGTAAGTGTGAGTAAGATATAATCGTTCGTAATTGTTAGGCTAAGACATAATAGGTTGGAGTTTTGGGTTGGACGCGGGATAAGTAAAGTTTGGGTTGTAACATAAAGCGTTTTGGTTTGGCTTGGTTCGGTTTACAAAATACAAACCGCAAACCGAACTGAACCATGCGATTTTTTTAAAAAATGACCTACACACATCCGAACCAAATGCAGTTTTTGCAGTTTTAGTTTAGTTTGGTTTGGTTTGTGATTTTTTATTGAACTAGTTCGATTTTGAACACCCCTATTCTGTATGTGTATTCCCTTAACCCTAGGTGTCAGAATTAAAATTTCTAAAGCCGAAAGAAGCACATTTGCATGCATTTGAGACAGTATTGATCGTATGATCAAGATAGTCTAATGAAACAAAATATACTTTTTATTTTATTTTATGATGTAATATGCTAAATTTGATTTTAAACTGTCATATCTTGATCAAATGGTTATTGATGCATTAAATGTGATAGTGCATGTTCCATTAAATGCATTATGAACGATTTTGAATCCTTATAGTCAGAAAACCACACACTCACTTATTGAATACTCCCTCAATTCTCTTTTATACGTAAAATTTAATTTTTAAATTCACCCAATAAATGATGTATTTAGACTATATATAGACCATATACACCGGTTGTTCAATAAACATAAAAGTCAAAAGTTATTTATAAAAGAGAATAAAAGGTGTACATCATTAACATCAATGACTATTCGATCAAGATATGAAGATCCAAGAGAATACAAATGACACTAGAGAACAAATTTTAATTTTTGAATTCTCTAATCTTAATCGAACAATCATTCACGCCTTATGCGTGTTCCCTTAACCAAAAGAAAACCCAATGTTGTCCCTTAACCAAAAGAAAACCCAATGTTGTGCACCAATTTGAATTTTTGAAGTTAAAAAAAACTCACATTCACCCGGTTGACATTACCTTATACATGACAATTTCATATAAAATAATGATATTTATTTATTTAAATATAATATATACATAAAAAGTGACGATTTTCTAAAAATAAAATAAATATGAATGTTATAAAAGTTGTACACCAAATTAAATTTCAACACGAGAGAATTTTTCAATCCTTTTACCCTTAAAATACCATAAAAAGAAGTAGAATTTGAGGATGACCAACTACAAGATATACCTAAATGGATTTGAATTTCCAAAAAAAAAATCTAGACTTATATAAAAGAGAATTTAGATTTTAGTTTTGGATTTAAACACAATTTTAAGTCTTAACTCTCCCTAGCTCTAAGTCTTTTGAAATGATCATTCATTGACATTAAAAACTCCAATGTTAATAACATAATACTAATAATTAAGGTACTTAAAACAACGATTACTATTATTACTAGTACATTAGTAGTAATTAATTACTAGCAAAATGAAAAGAGGTTGCATGATGCATGGTGAAAATGTTGAAATTGTTGTTTTTGTTAGTGACAACTTGCAAAGGAGTGGCAATGAGAAGGCAAATTGCCATATGTTTGGTTTCATGTAATTTTTTATCAGAAGTTCACGTTCCAACGTTTTGAATCGCTCATGTATCTATCAAATTTTGCATTGTGATGCGTGAACGTAAAATCAAAGACAAATATCCCAAGGGTATATTCGTCATTATATTGGGAAAAAAGAATATTTTTATATTTTGTCAAATCAATCCAAAAATATTACTATTTCTATTATTGGTTCTTTTTCTATGCACTTTTTCATTCATACCTACCCTTTTCATTCACCGTCCTCCCCTTTCATAATTCCTCATATATAATTAAAAATATTATTTAATTTTTAATATAATAAAAAATTATTCTTCAATTATTATATATTTTTATTTAGTTTTACTTGAAAATCCGTTTCGTAAGAACATATAGTATTTAAAATCATAATAATGTATTATTTTGAATTCACCAACCAACAATAGGTTGGTGGCCTAAATGATATGGACTCATAATCTTTAAACAAATTTAATCTTATTCATAATTTTTTTTGGATAGTTTCTCAATTTATCTCCATAATATATTTAAATATGCATAGAATAATTTCAAAAGAATTATTTAAAAATAGATTTTATATAAAATACATTATTAAAAATCATTACAATTAATTTTCAATATTTTCAGTTAAGGAATTTAATTTTTTTAGAAATTTATGGTTGAAAGGTAAGATTTTACTAGAAAGTCGTCGTTGAATTCTTCAATAAAACAAATTATTGATAAAATTAGTAAATAGTTCAAAACAATAACGTGATTATCAAACAAATATTTTAAGTCTATCAAACAACACGTATGTAATACGTAATATTACATTGATTCAATCCGAAATTTTGAAATAACTACTTAATCTAATTTTTTATTTATAAATAATGACTTTCACAATAACATTATTCAAATTAATAATAATAAATAAAATTTATGATTTTATAAAATTAAAATTATTTAATATTTCACTTAATAATTTTAAATTATACATAGTAATTTTTTAAAAGATTTAAATAAACATTGTTAAAATTATGAACATAATTTTTAAGATTAATTTTGTCTTGTTTGTATGTTATTTATTATAATTTTTATTGCAAAAAATTATAAAAAATAAAGAATACTTTGATAAATGATAAAATTGTAATTAAGTTAATAAATTTGACTTTTCAATAAATAATAATAAAAACATATGCTAAATATATTGTTACATTTTTTTTTACATCAAATATATTGCTTTAACCTTTTCTTACAGTTGAACGCACGTTCAAATTCAATGTTCCAAATGTCAATAGAATAAACTAACTTTAATTATTTGTTCTTATAAAAACCAAAAAATAATTTATTTTAATTATTTTTTGTGTTCTTCAATAAACCCTTGGAGATTTTGATACCTTCTCCAAAAATATAAAAGCTATAGATATTTCAAAGATTCATTCTTGAGCCACCACCTTATCTCTCTATCTCAAATTCTTCCTCTCTTTCATGTTCTCTTCTTGAAAAATTCTCCATTCTAATTCATTGGTTTTTCTTGAAAGAATTTCTAAGAGGGGAGAGACATGGTGGCTGTTCTTCAAACCAGAGGGCTTCTCTCCCTCCCTGCAAACCCTAAAACAAGGGTTTTGCTTCAACAACCCAATGGCCTAAAGCATAGATTTTTATCTCTTAAACCCAAAACCCTTGGTGGTTCTTCTCTTACATCAAATGGGTTTTCAAAGCTTAATTCTTTTTCACCAAAAGTTAATGGCTTTGGCCAAAACGAGAGGAATTTGTTCATCTGTAAAGCAGAGGCGGCTGCTGCGTCTGATGGACAACAACCAGTTTTTGGGGAGGCTGAGGTTGAGAAAAAACCTAAAATTCTGGGGATTGAGGTTGATACTATGAAAAAGATTTTACCTCTAGGGTTGATGTTCTTTTGCATCCTTTTTAATTATACAATTTTGAGGGATACGAAGGATGTGTTGGTTGTTACCGCTAAAGGGAGTAGTGCTGAGATTATTCCGTTTTTGAAAACATGGGTGAATCTTCCTATGGCTATTGGGTTTATGTTGTTGTATACAAAGTTGTCTAATGTTTTGTCAAAACAGGCACTTTTTTACACTGTGATTCTCCCTTTTATTGCTTTCTTTGGGGCTTTTGGTTTTGTTTTGTATCCTCTTAGCAATTATATTCATCCTGAGGCTTTTGCAGACAAGCTTCTTAGTGTTCTTGGTCCTAGGTTCCTTGGTCCTCTTGCAATTATCAGAATTTGGAGTTTCTGTTTGTTCTATGTTATGGCTGAATTGTGGGGGAGTGTGGTTGTTTCTGTGCTATTCTGGGGTTTTGCTAATCAGGTACTTTTTTTATTTCATTAATTTACTTTTCATTTGATTATGTGCTTTTGGTATAAGGTTTGGTTGTTGCTGCTGCTGTTGTTATTGCTGTTGTTGTAGTTGTTATTTTACTAGCATAATTTAGTCATTCTTTCATTACTTTGTGTACAACATATAAATTTTTGTAGCTATGTAGCATTGACACTACATGTTGAAGACGCATCTGAGTGTCCGATACTCGTGTGACACTTGCATGTGTGGTTATATTCAATTGCCTCCATTTCCTCAAATTGTTATTGGTGCTTAAGCATTGGTGTCGAGTCCAATGTCTGTCTTTGCCAGTTACAGTTCTTCATAACTTTTGAGTCATTATACATGTCAGTGTCTTTGCCAGGGCTTCATTGCTTAGAGTCATTATACACGTTGGTGTCTTTGCCGGTGCTTCATTGCTTTGAGTCATTATACACTTTGGTGTCAAGTCCAATGTATGTGTCTTTGCCGGTGCTTCATAGCTTTGAGTCATTATACACGTTGGTATCGAGTCCAATGTATGTCTTTGCCAATAGCTTAGAGTCATTATACTCGTTGGTGTCGAGTTCAATGTATGTATTTGCCAGTGCTTCATAGTGTTGAGTCATTGTACGCGTTGGTGTTAAGTCCAATGTCAGTGTCTTTGCATTTTGAAGTCCATGTGACACTAGTAAATCACTACTGGCTATTAGATGCTTGTTTAGGTGCAATACTATGCATCAACTCTCTGATGGTTATAATTTTACGATGTGATGGTGACATTCATTTTAAGCTTTCCAGTTTTCAACTTCCTTGTTCAATCAGCATGATAAAATAAATCTATTATTATAAACATTAAGCAAAAGCTAGATATTATTTTGATGAGTTTGTTCTTCTTGGTAAACCTAATACTCTTGTTGTTTTGCATAGATAACTACTGTTGATGAAGCAAAACGATTCTACCCACTGTTTGGACTTGGGGCCAATGTAGCTCTCATATTCTCTGGTCGTACCGTGAAGTACTTTTCTAACATGAGGAAGAATTTAGGTCCTGGTGTTGATGGTTGGGCCATCTCTCTGAAGGGAATGATGAGTATAGTCGTGCTTATGGGATTCGCAATCTGTGGCCTGTACTGGTGGACGAATAATTTCGTTCCTCTTCCAGAACGTAGCGTGAAGAAGAAGGTACCAACTATATGCTGCAATCCTATATAAAATAAACATTCTGAAACCTATTAACTAACATTTTACATTGCTATTCGATTTTACAGAAGAAGCCCAAAATGGGAACAATGGAGAGCTTGAAATTCTTGGTGTCTTCAAGATACATCAGAGACCTTGCCACTTTAGTGGTTGCTTATGGAATCAGTATTAATCTTGTTGAGGTTACATGGAAGTCTAAGCTCAAAGCCCAGGTAATATACGAAAAAGTTAATATTGTCTTGATTTTCGTCTTAAAACTTGCTATGCCATTCTGCGTCTTTTTATCTGTTTTATAACAAATCTTTGCAAATTGCAGTTTCCTAGCCCCAATGAGTACTCTTCTTTCATGGGTGACTTCTCGACTGCAACTGGAATTGCAACATTCATAATGATGCTTCTAAGTCAATATATATTTGACAAATATGGTTGGGGAGTTGCTGCCAAGATCACACCTACCGTCTTGCTTCTGACCGGAGTCGGTTTCTTCTCTCTCATTTTGTTTGGAGGTCCAATTGCACCCGGTCTTGCATCGCTTGGAATGACTCCACTGCTAGCAGCTGTTTATGTTGGTGCCTTGCAAAACATCTTTAGCAAGAGTGCTAAGTACAGCTTATTCGATCCCTGCAAAGAAATGGCTTACATTCCCTTGGATGAGGATACTAAGGTTTGAGTTTTTTTTTACTACTCTCGTACTTATTGCATATTTGAACTGACGCTGGGTTTAACGGAATCATGATTAGGGCTTAGGGCTGGCTGTTCATGGTACAGTTCAGTCAGAAAACCCGAGCTGAACCGACCCATACAAAAACGTCATCTGAACTGAACTGAACCGAACCGTTTCAATTTACCTAGACCGAACCAAACGAAAATTATTGGTTTGGTATACCAGGTTCAGAATTCCGAACAGTACCAAATCATTAGAAGACAGTTTGTCTGAATGGAACCATTTGCTAAAAAATTCAACTCCTTTATATATATTATTGGTTTGGTAGAAGGACATAGGAAAACAAAACACAACTAATATATATATATATATATATATATATATATATATATATATATATATATATATATATATATATATGCTATCATTAAGAGTTTATTGAAACACACTTTGCATTCCTTTGGTGCAGGTCAAAGGCAAAGCAGCCATAGATGTTGTTTGCAACCCATTGGGAAAATCCGGAGGCGCCCTAATCCAACAATTCATGATCCTAACGTTCGGATCACTCGCCAATTCAACTCCATACCTCGGAGGTGTTCTTCTAGTGATTGTTCTTGCCTGGTTAGGAGCAGCCAAGTCATTGGATACACAGTTTACCGCGTTGCGTAAAGAGGAAGAACTCGAGAAAGAGATGGAAAGAGCAGCCGCTGTCAAGATACCAGTGGTCTCTGAGAACGACGGTGGCAACGGTTCCCTTACCAGTGACTCATCAAATAGTCCATCCGAAGCCTCAACTCCTCGCAACAATTAAGAACACATGCATGGTTCTTTCTAAGGAGAATTGGTTTACAGAAAGAACGAGTAGAGAAAGAAACTGTTTTGAGAGCAATGTTAGATGAAACTATTTGTTTTAGGGTGATTTTAATTTACTAAGCATATAGAATAAGCTTGCTACTTGTTTTTTTTTCTAAGTCTCATAATTTTTTTGACTCTTTTAAGTTCTATTTAATTTCTTACTCTCACATTTGTTTTCAAATAAAAGGAACTGGTTCTTTTCTTATCTCAAATGGATCCAGATGTATAAGATGGTAAGCTTCTAGAAAAGTTTATGAAATTGCTTACAAGTCCTTTTCAACATATTTTTTATGTTTAGATTCTTTAGATAGTTTGTCATAACCTTTAGCTCAAGTTTGTTGAGCTACCCTTAGCTTGAAAAGAAAAAGTTGGGTTACAAGACAAAAATATTTTAAGTCTCATAATATTATTATTTATTTTGAATGAAATTTTAATTTGGCTTAATATTTTAATCATTTTAATTTATTCATAAACTTAGATTGTGACTCAAAATCGAATAAATGTGTATTGGGATGTTTCCGGTGATATATTTTCAGAATTTGAAAGTATTTTCAGAATTTCGCAAGCTATAATCTAAAGTGATCAATAGTATTTTTTTTAAAATTTTTTTTCACATTTTGCCACTATGTTATTGATGTGAGGTATAAAGGACCTAAAAAAGGTTCTTCTACCATGCAAAATATCGAATATTTTAAGAAAAGTTTTTAATCTACTCGATATTTTTAGGCGTATGACGCATTTCTTTTTATGCTCCTTGTTTTCGGATATATATAATCGGATACATATTTTTTTCCTTTCAAAATTTAGTTTTTTTCGGAGTTATATTTACGAAATAATTTTAAACTGGTAAATTCTAAAAAAAAATTTAAAAAAATTCAATTCAGGAAAATTTCCATAAATGCACTTCTAGAAAGTCTAAGCGCCATATTGTTCTGTAAATACAGTTCCGAAAATTTCTGTTATATTTGAAACCTGCATGATTACTCTCTCCATTGTTGTGTTTTCTTCTTCCACACTCACCTTTACCAATCTAAAAAATCTACATTTTCAAAAAAATGTTATGAAAGGAGTCTGCATAAGCAAACCGCCTCCGACCCCGATTCCATCGAAAATTTCATTCATCGACGAAATGCCGATTTTTATACACAAATACATCGACCGTATCGTCAATTTTGAAGGGAATGGTAATTGCGGTTACCGAGCCGATTCGGCTTTGCTTGGTAAAGGAGAAGATAGTCATGCGCTTGTCCGTCATCAACTAATTCAAAAATTGCAGACGCATAAAGAATCGTACACGCGGTTGTATGGAAAGAAAGAAAAATTTGATGTGGTTTATGAATCTCTAATTTTCTTCCGTAAATACGCATACAAAAATATTTCATAGATGTATATACGAAATTAATTATGAAAAAACTGAAAAAAATATGCGTCTGAAGATAAATCTCCAAAATTTAAGAGGTATTTTAAATAGCACGTGGTGCCTAAAAAGATCAAGAATAAGATAAGAAATTCTCTAATTTTATCAACTAAATTAAAATTCAAAATCTAAATAACATTGTTGTAACAAATAGCATGCACAAGTATTTTAATAAAATTTCAAACTTCAATCTGAATTTGTTAACAATAAATCAAAATGTTGTAGCATTGGAGAATATGTATCATCATTGAGACAAAGAACTTATTGAAATAATGAAAGAGAGTTAAATGGGGTTGAGAATTTTTCATATTTTGGGTTCTCATTTTTCTCATTATAAATAGGGAGAGATTAATAGTACAAAAGAATGTGTAACCAATTAGTTTTATAATTTTGTTATACTGAAAATGATCTCCTGTTTATCTGTTTTACTTTAGGATGCAAAGTGAATACATACAATATTACTACATCCAAGCAAAAGGTGTGCAAGAATCAAATAAAAGTAAGAGAAAGTTAAGAAAAACAACACTCATCTCGGAAAAAAAAAACCATTCAAAACTTTAACTTAGATAACATCGACATACAAATTGTGAAAGAGAGACTAGAGATATGCAATAATTATCTGAAAATTATAAGGAAAAGAGAAAAATATAATTTCATAAGAATATAAATTTCATAAAGCAAAATAAAGATCAAGTGGATAATTTTTTTCCTCTCTCATCACTTTGTCTCTTTAATTTCATGTTTTTTTTAATTGACTGTATTGATATTTAAACAAATTTGTTTAATTAAAATTAAAATTTATTTTTTAATTTTGTAACTTTTAACATATTATTTTTGTTGTGTGCAATTTTTTATTTTATTTTTTTATTTTTTATTAATGATCAATTTGTTTTCAATTTGCATTGTTGTTGTTGAAATTGTTGAGTTCATTTGCTTATTTGCTATATTCACGTAGATGCAGAATATTAGTTATGTTTTCTCACAAATAATGGTAAAACATGTTCTTCCACATTCCACTTTCCCCTCTATTTTCTACTTATTTTTCTTTTCCTTTATTTCACTAATATTTGATTTTGAATTAGCGATTTTCTCTTTTCAATGATTTGCTATTATTATTTTTCAATATTTAACCATTTTTGCTTAGATAATGGAAACATCCTTCTATAACATGAAGGAATCAGAGAAATGAAATGTGTTATTTTCTCGGTAGATGTGCTAAGAAAAAAAATCAAAAGATAAAGAAATTGTTGCAACACAATAGCAAGCAATCCATGGTAGAAAATGTTTCCTTATATTTTTTAGTGTTAATTGTTATTTTTATATTATTTTTCTTCAAATTTATAGGTTTCATATGTAACAAAAAGAAAAATAATTTTCTTGATTTCTTCATCTAATCTTGATTTTTCATGTGGTTATATTTTTTTTCTATCTAAACTAACAATCGAAGATTTGTATTGTGTTGTAGTTCAAATATATTGTACATAACTATCGAGCAATTAAGAAAAAAAACTGACTCATTCACGTATATGTACACTTATGTTTTGTGATGGAGTAAAAAAAACAAAATATACTTAATTTTTTTACATCTAATATAGTGTTTAATTTTTTTTACTTAGTGATAAAAAAACCTAAAACTTTGGGATGGTGAAGAAAAATATTCAATGTTTTTAGATGTAATATACCATAATCAATGTGAATACGATGAATATAAACAATATTGAGCTTCATTATTTTATTTTAATTGTTATACATATGTAAAAATTATGGGTCACTCATTTGTAGTCTCTTATCTTAGTTTTTTAGAGGTGAAGAAACCAACATTTTTGTGATGGAGTAGAAGAAAAATTTAGGAATTTTTTACATCTATTATACCATAATACAATGTGATTATGGTGCATAAAAATAACATTGATATTGAATATTTAATTTTAGTGATTATCCATGTAGATATAACTTATTTGTCATTCATTTAGAATTTTTTAACTCTGTGGCTTACTGGAGAAGAAACATGAAATTTGGTGATGGAGAAGAAACATATTGAATATATTTACATCTAATAAACCATAATTCAATGTGAAAATGGTAAATATCAATAAATTTTAACTTGATTATTTATTTTAATTATTACCTATTTTATAAAAAATACATGTCATGGATTTGTTTTTTAGAGGGGAAAAACCTAAAATTTTGTTATGGAGTAGAAAAATAAAATATAATTAATTTTTTTACATCTAATATAGTATTTAATTTTTTTTGCTTAGTGCTAAAAAAACCTAAAACTTTGGGATGGTGAAGAAAAATATTGAATGTTTTTAGATGTAATATACCATAAGTCAATGTAAATACGAAGAATATAAACAATATAGAGTTTGATTATTTTATTTTAATTGTTATGCATATGTATAAATTATGGGTCATTCATTTTTAGTCTCTTATCTTAGTTTCTTAGAGATGAAGAAACCAAAATTTTGGTGATGGAGCAGAAGAATAATATAGAAATTGTTTACATCTATTATATCATAATACAACTTGATTATGGTGAACACAAATAAAATTGAGCTTAAATATTTAGTTTTAGTGATTACCCATGTAGATATAATTTATTTGTAATTCATTTATAGTCTTTTAACTCTATGGCTTAGTGACGAAGAAACATGAAATTGGGTGATGGAGAAGAAATATATTGAATATATTTACGTCTAATTTACCGTAATTGAATGTGAAAATGGTAAATATTAATAAATCTTAGCTTGATTATTTATTTTAAGTATTACCTATTTTATAAAAAATATATATCATGGATTATAGTATTTTAACTTTGTTTTTTAGTGGGGAAAAACCTAAAATTTTGTGATGGAGTAGAAAAAACAAAATATAATTAATTTTTTTTACATCTAATATAGTGTTTAATTTTTTTTTACTTAGTGATAAAAAAACCTAAAACTTTGGGATAGTGAAGAAAGATATTCAATGTTTTTAGATGTAATATACCATAATCAATGTGAATACGATGAATATAAACAATATTGAGCTTCATTATTTTATTTTAATTGTTATACATATGTAAAAATTATGGGTCACTCATTTGTAGTCTCTTATCTTAGTTTTTAAGAGGTGAAGAAACCAAATTTTTTGTGATGGAGTAGAAGAAAAGTTTAGGAATTTTTTACATCTATTATACCATAATACAATGTGATTATGGTGCATAAAAGTAACATTGATATTGAATATTTAATTTTAGGTATTATCCAGGTAGATATAATTTATTTGTCATTCATTTAGAGTTTTTTTAACTCTGTGGCTTACTGGCGAAGAAACATGAAATTTGGTGATGGAGAAGAAACATATTGAATATATTTACATCTAATAAACCATAATTCAATGTGAAAATGGTAAATATCAATAAATTTTAACTTGATTATTTATTTTAATTATTACCTATTTTATAAAAAATACATGTCATGGATTTGTTTTTTAGAGGGGAAAAACCTAAAATTTTATTATGGAGTAGAAAAATAAAATATAATTAGTTTTTTACG